CGAAGGTCACGTAGGCCTGGTCGAATAAGAAAATGACCAAACAAGTTTTTTATCCCGTGGGAAATTTGATGTGTGTGTGGGTATATACATTATACATATCGTATATATATTTGTTTTTAAATTACTGTACTTTTTTTTTATTTTTCTCCTAAAGCAATTTGCATCTTTAGCCGCAAAGTACACGTTCATATTTGGACGAAGCTCACGTGAAATACGGTTTTTGATTTACATAAAGTCCCCCCCAGACCCCGGGGGCCGCCCCAGTGGGGTGGTGTATGGGAAATTAGACGCCGTAAACTTGTCTAGCCCGTGTTCATTTGTTACACATGCACCAGGCGTACCGTTTACTTTATTCATATTCTCAAACAAACATTCATAATAATATATTATAATAATATACTGTATCGTGCACAAAATAACGGTTAAACCGTCCGTAAAGCGAATAATCTTTTTTCTGTAGCGACATTTATCTTCTTGTTTTTTTTTTTATCCTTCAAACAGCAAAATATAATAATATCTTTCCCGCACATGTGCGCCGTAAGTCGCTTAAATCACTCTCGGGTGAATCGGTTTGCCGGGGCTTTGATTTAAATCAATTGCGCTCACTTAACAACGCATTTTGCAATATTAAACGCACGGAAACCCCCCTGAGGTGGAATCAAGTTTGCGGTTCTAGGCAAGTACCACTCGACGGCGATTAGTTTCCAAAATCCAAAATCGAATTATGAACGAATTAATAATCTTCTACGCTTCCGGTCCGGTAGCGCTTAGCTCACAATGCTATTATGATACTTAAGCAAATTAAAACCCTTCTCCAAAGGGGATAGCCTTGATTTTAAAAGTCAAATTGGATCGGGATAGTTCTATTTTATTTTTTTGGCAATCATCTTATTACGGCCGTTCTTGGCGTTACTACGGTACAACACATATACTAAGTTTGGTTAGGGCAGGGCTCTCAATCTTAAAACATCTGAACCTAAAAAAAACACAACTCTACTACAAGTAAAACAATGACCCGAAAAAAATCATATCAAAAATAAAATAACATTGAAAAAACCTAAAAAATATTACTTGTTCAATATCTGTTTCTATTTTCGTCTTTCAAGTTAGCTGCTTAAAAATTTACCTATAACATAAGACTATATTTTTAATATATATATATATAAAATCTTATTGTATGCATAATCTATTAAATATTATTATTTTTATTTTATTTAAAAAAAAAATTCCTCCTTTTTTATTACAGTTAAGGATGATTTATACTAAAAATATATTTAATTATGTTACTTGCGACTTAGTATTGGTAATAGTTAAAGGTTTGTTTTCAACTCACGTTTAAAAGGAATGTCTATTAATAAAAAAATACTCTTAAAAAAAAAATGTATTAACAAGATATTATAAAACGAGTTAAAAAGAAATTAAAAAAAACTAAGTGTTTTTATTTTCTTTAAACTTTAAACTTTTACTCTAACTCCGTCCGAGTCGTTTAACAAATTAAAAAATCGTCAGATTAGTATCCGTAGGAATTTTATGAATTAAAATAAGAAAAAGTCTTTGTAACTTTAAATGAACATTGTATCTAAAACGTCAGTAGAGAGAGTAAAAGAACATAACATTCAATTACAGTGTATTTCTATGGAAAATAAAATCAAAGTAGCATACACACGAATCCTCGATACGGTTCGGGTAATATAATTATTTATTTACAAAAAATAAACTGTGGCAATTGAAACATGAAGAATATGGAAAAGTAGAAAGTCAGTACATATATGTATTATAAGAGCTGCAGCAACTTGGCTGCTTCGTCTTAACTGTGCCAGCTTAGCTTGTTTTACTGGCCATTATTAAGACACTCTAAAACAAAAGATGGGAGGACTACATAAAATCAAGTGTGCAATCTTTATAATTTTCCAAAGTCTTTTGTTCTTTAGAGTAGGTATGTGCATTGTAAAACTCTGAATTGAAAAGTTTATACATTACCAAACTTAATTTTGGTATTTCTTCGAAATACATACATATATATATATATATATATACTCGTACTTAACCACCAAAAGAGATAATTACTCACGCAATAACGACCATCATCGTCGTCGTTTCACCGTATAATATTATTTTGAAAATTAATTAGTTTTAATGTAAAAAGGAAAAAAAAACGAGTCGACTCGCGTGCAACTAACCACATTAATTCAACACTTGTTGCAATTTTTTGTGTAATTTCTAACGTTGCAATTTTTTTTTTTTATAAATTTTATACTTTTGTAATGGGAAATCGCGTGTCAATGGAAACCCACGCAAACGTTAAGTCTTAGCTACTTAAGTACACCGACCAAAGATTATTATTCATTGGCCAGTCACATCGGCCGATATAAATCTTATTGGTCAGGACGTCTTGCGCTGGCTCTCCATCCGGTCGACCCAGCTTTCTGTAACCTAACCGGCCGGCCGCCATGTATATAATGATATTCATGACCTTGCAGTGAGTCGTAGATATTAGACAATTCAAAAGTCATACACAATACAACAGATGTTTTTCGTCGATAAATGCTCATAATCATTTTATGGTTATGACACAATAATACATCAGTATTCGCAAGCAAGCTTGCTTAACATAACGCCTCCTTCTTCTTCCGAATGCTTTGGATTTGAAATTATTTAAAAGTTAATAAACGACTTGGGCACGACAAACACAAGAAGGACATAAATACATACAAAATTAACTTTATTATGAACAAGAGTTTGACAAACTGTAGTTGACCTAACCAAACCAATAACCATTAAAATCTAAAACTAGTTGAATAAAATACTAACTTGAAATGATGAAAACATAATATCGCCTTCGATTAAAAACATTAAATGAATAAGTTAAAAAAATAGCATTCAACTATGACATTTTTATTAGAATGATTGATAAACTATAAATTGTATCAATCGTTCTGCGAATATGCCCAAATCTGCTTGCCAATAATAAAAATATATTCTCTGATCATTTTTTATGACCATTCACGTGGATTGTATTTTTATAATAATACTTTATTGTAAAATTTAAAAAACTGTCAAGGAAATATGATCAGCATAATTTATATTATATTCAACACTAACAATCCCCACGACTGCACTGCTACTAAATTGCATACACAAAACGCCTACCACCTTACGTAACCGTAGAATAATGCAAATATTCTATACTCTTAAGTAATTGTTTTTATTATACACATCTATTCAGCTATGTACACAGGGTTTTCAATTAAGTTAGAAAAATTACCCGTTTGAATACTATATATAAACCATTTTCCAAACTATTCGACCACCGCTATTGATAGTAGACATATTCAGTTTTAAGTAAAAGCTTTAATATTGTCTAGAAAATTATATTTTTAAGGAAGTAAAAAATGCTCATTTCTTTGACCATCTAACTTACTACAAGATAATTACAAAGCCAATGACTATGATTTTACAAAATGAGAATTATATATAAAACATGTATTTTTAACGTGTTGTTTTTTCATGTTATTTTATTTTATTCAATAATAAAATTAAAAACAAATATTATAGTCAATAAGCGGTTATTAATTTATTACTCGTCCAATTGCAAAACTTAAAACTTTAGTCAGGAAACACTTTATACTGCGTTTAAATAGTGAGCGCAGATAAAGAATATAATATATAATATAATACCATTACAGTGCACTCTCAGCGCCTTTCTCTAACAGTAACATAAGTCACAGTACTATTTATAATATTTTTAGCATAAATTATAGCATTTGTCGTTTCAGAGATATGAATAACCAGTAAATCAGGTGGTAGGATTTAATATATAGAACGAAATGGTTTAACTGTCTGCGTTTAAAACGTTAAAAGTGAAGATAAATAGGTAGCAACTTTTTAAATTAAATACTTTACGGGATTTATAATTTCGCATTAATCTATGTTTTTTAACGCTTTACCTACATAGTAGGTAATAACATAGTTTTCGTGAAAAACGGTCCTGAATATAAAAATGTAAATTAAAAAAACGAATAGTTTTGACGAGGTTAAGTAGTAAATATTATAAGGGTCATAATGATGATTGTTTGGTGTTTTAAACAAATTTGTAATTAAATATTTTAAATTTATTCTTGAAACGTTAATCGTATCATCAGTGCAAAAAAACTTTGGTCGTTAATTTAATAATAATTTTAAAAAATATATCTAGAAGTAAAAAACATTAATATTAATAAAAAAAAAAAATAATAACGACATAACTAATGGCTAGGCAAAAACATGATGTAAAAAAATAGTTGTAACGATATTAAAAAAATTGTCACAGTTATTATATAAAATATAATTGTCGTGTGGAAATTATTAGTTGCATTGTTTTTTTTTCTGTTTTAAGATTACTTACACAATTAATAAATTCTATATATTTTTTTCCACGAGTAGATATACTTATTCGGTTCAAATAAAAAAAAAAATCATAATGGGGAGTGGGCGGTAAGTTTTTATTAAAACAAGTTCAATGAGAGGCAACTACCTACTTTTAAACAGCTTTGTTGATTACATTAGAATATTAATTATTATTATTATTTTTCAACCGTTTACAACATATATAATATGATACGTTGACATTATCATAGAAATATGTGATTGCTTGTTTTAATACAGCAGTCGCGTCGCATACATATTTGTAGCCTGTAGGGGAGGGCAGTGGGGGGGAGGGACAAGCAAGTTTAGTAAATAGCAACCACTGTAGTGTACACGGTCTAATATTTTTCATAAGCTTGTCAGCTGTTCTGTGTGGGATTTTATTGGCCAAAACCTATTGTACCGTGTGAGCAAATAATATGTGCACAGAATTGTTTGAACTTTTTTTTTTTCGACAAACTCCAAAAAGTAACATTTCTGCCAAGCGAACCGAACAAAAGTCTCCCCGTTTTTTTTTTTTTTTTAATATTACCTTTATTATTTAAACACCAGTAATAAGTACGTTGTTTTTTATTTGTGTGTATTTTTTTTTTCAGAACTCGTGTGATCTGAAGCGAGGAATTCTACAGTCAACCATTAAGTATAACAAAGCTGTCGTGTGCGACTTTCATGATGTCTAAGTATAATCATTTTTGTAAACGCAATCCATAAATTTTATCTACACTCGTGTGTACCTACTTGGATACATACATATATATAATAATTAATCATAACAAGAACTGTACATGAAAATAATTATTATTTTGATTTTTTCGCTGTATAAGATATTTTGTACATAATAACGAACAAACTGCTGTTTGTGAATGAAATTCACGTCCAATCTAAACTGGTCTTATCTCGATTTACGTTTGTGCTATAATGTAATAACTGTAATTATAAAAAAAATTGAGAATAATCTCAAAACGGTTATTGCATCTATTTATTTCCGCACTTGATATTTCACAATACGGACCAAAAAAATAAAACCAAATAATCTCATATATTATTTTTTTTATTGTATTTAACATTAAACAATCGTTGGTAATTATGCAAAAGTAATCCGATATCGCTTCAAAAGAAATAATCCATTAGCATTCAAAGGTCAATATATACATGGACACAACAATCAACCTGTTGTTTAAAAGCTTATCCGACGTTATGTAATTGACAGCCTATAAATGCTGCTAGTGCTCATACTCAATTTATTAACAATAATTTATACTATAATATTATATTGTATTGTCAAAAACCCTTGAGTACTTTTTACGCTCTGTATATTATCTTATTATGTATATTATAATATTGTATAAACACTATTTGGTTTAGCCGAAACTCGCCGCTCGACAAGGTATACAGATTTAAATTCAAAAACGATTATGTTACATACTATTTTTAATGATTATTATTAAATTTATCACTCAAGTAGTTGACTAAACCACCGGTATAAAAAGCGAAACTTCATAAATATTATAATATTGTAAAGTGTATTATGTATTTACTATTGTTGTTAACTTCCTAGGCATAGCACTGCAACGGTATGACATAATTATTATTGTGTAGAATATAAATAGCGTTTTTTATTTTAGAAATGTCATTTTAATTTCCCTTTAATTTATTGTGTACATAATATAATACCTAATTAATAAAATATGTAAACCATGTTGACATTATCCAGTTTTTTTTTATTTGTTAGCTAATGTTGTACAATGTACACCTTTGGCCACAAAATTGGTAAAAATCCTTTTAAAACTATTCATTCTGTATCTTTAATTAAAAAAGTTTTCAGTACTATAACACACAATGTTAGTTTAGCAAAAACGATCGGATTGACACTGGGTTAGATAAAAACGATAGACGATAGTTTTAAATTTACTTTTCATTGGGAAATCTCACAGGAAAGTTTTTTTTTGTGGCGATTACTGTCGGAGATAAAGGCTAAGACCGAATTCGTTATTTATGAATAAAATATTTTTCAATTCTACCTTTGCAAACCTACAGGCTATCTATTACTACACTGTGATTCGAGTCTCGAGGTAAGATTTAGAGTATAATAATATACTCTATGTAACCTCTATTTTATGGTGTATAGTTATAATTATTAGCCAACTAAACAACTGTTTAATTGATAAAACAAAAATTCAAAATTGCTGAGGCGCCTATTCATTTTAACATAAGATTGTAAAGACTAAAATATACTATAATAGTGATTAGAACGGTGATCGATATTTTAATAGGACCTAACCTAAAAAGCTTAAAAATTAAGGAAAATTATAGTGAAAAAAATAGGATAAACTAAAAATAAAATAAAATAATTACTTATTTTTTGTGATTTCACCAGGACCATTGATCACAAACACTTTTAAACTTAAACACTTTTAAAACGTCAAGTGCTTATATCAAAATCAAAGTTACGACTTGCATAACTGCGGCGCCCATAAGTCTATCCTCCTGTATAATGAAGCGAAGACCAAATCGCACTTATAGATAGTTGTATAGACCTAACCTTCCAATATAACCTAACCTTACCATATCATTTTGTATCTGTAGACGTTTAATGGTATAAGTGTTAAATATCGATGAAAATCATTATAAAGGCAAACGTGTGTTTAAATTGTGTTTTACTTAATTTTTTGTTAGATTTAGTTGGGTTAGGTAAGGTTAGTTGCTATTGTTACCAATAGGCAATATCTAATCAACAATATGTTAAAATATTTTTTTAGTTGCCTATATGACGGTTGGTCCGCTCGCACATGGCAACCGAGAAATTTAATACGGTCAAAGTGTAATTTCCCCCTTTTTTTTAATTTTCTTTACACAAACAAAGTTTGACCAAAGACTTTTGAGAAAATCGTATAATATATTATAACCTTTGAAGTACCGATAGGGAATTTTCCCACGTTGTTTATAGCGGCATTGTAATGGCGTATGCCAAAATATAGGTTGAAAAATTCCGAACTGAAGCCTATTTTTCATATTCAAATTCGACCGGACTACAAGTTGAACTAGGCGGTTTTGCGTAACAATTTAATATCGTAAACGGTGGATTAAACGGTCGGGGTTTATCAATTTTGGTCGCCCATCGTTTTGGCACGTACTATACACATACAATACTATTACATTATACAGGATGCGATAATTCATCGATGCGCCCGTCAACAGCAACGGCGAAGGCGACGGCTGCGACAACCGCACAGAGTAGGGACACGCGTCCCACAAATACAGGGTTATGATTATTTTTAAACCCGGGGGCGCCAACGGATCTACAGCCGCCTTGGCCGGCCGGCGACCATTTCGACGGGCGACACGACCGAGCATACCGCGTGCGCGCCCGTTAGTAAGTAGTACCCTGTGGATACAAGGTGGAATCGTTCAAGTTCAAAGTTCAAGTTCAACACCGAGTGACCGATCGATCGGTATCGTTTTGGCGCGTCCGCCGACCGGTTTCGATTCAACCGGAAGGGTACAACGACAACGTTGCAAGGATATAGTGTGATCGTTTGGGACCACGAGGTAAGGGTTTAAATCCGATTTAATATGTATTTCAATAGAGGAACAATTAAAAAGAAATATCCAAATCCAAGTGTCCAATACCACCAACACTTCATCTTTTAGTTTATAAAAAAACATAGAACATTGCAATTGCCAAAGTTTTTCCATAAAGCTATGTTTTATTGGAACAATTCTGATGTCCGTATAAAAATAAGAATCAGTCGTAGAACAAATTTTATTTCAGTAATAAATTATTTTCTTAATATTACACATACAAAATCATTGTAATTGAACTAATTCTCAAACTTCATACAAACATAATAATATTGTTCGTCAAACTTCAACAAAACATTTAGGAAATATTATTTTGTTTTAAATTACCAAATCTAATCTAGTATAATAAACAGACTTTTCAATATAACAATTTTTGATCACAAGGTACAATTATATTAATTTTTATTTTAAGTCACACAATTTACCATTACCCGTTTAGATCTATTAGAATTCAAAACAGCGCTCTAAAATTAAAATTAAATTATTTTTTTTGATAGAGTGGACAGAAATGTAAATTATCACGGTTCTTTATTTCTAAAGATAAAATTAGTCCGGTTAGTCAGCTTGTCACTTAAAAGTATGTCTGCTCAACAACACAATGATTCACAAATATCCATGTATAGTAGACCGTATAATGAACAAATACATATAAACAACGTTTTACACTGATGATTTTAATATTTATTCAATTACAGTTTTCTATAATATACATATTTTTTTATGAGTTAAATTTGAAGTTTAGCCATTAATTTTACATAGACATATATATATATATATATATATATATATATAACATAAATAACAAGGCATCTCTGCGTATGTGTCCATCAAGTATAAAAAAACATGTATATTTATTTTCGATACTATTAAAAATTAATTAAATTGTAGATTTTTATTTATTCGGTAAAACAATATTATGATGTAATCGGTTCTCACAATCAGTTTTCTACAACAAAAATGATGAAAAATCTACGAAAAAATTAAAAACCCAAAGATATATCTAAAAAGGCAGCAGCTGTTGTTCTCATTAGTCACGATAATTTTTTTTTTCCATTTGCTTTTCAAACATCCGTTTTTATATTTATCGTTTCCGTTTTGAATCATGTTAAGGAGACATTGAAATCCGCTGGTCGTGTCCCCTTGATGTCCACCATGTTTTATAGGATATTTAAACGATATCGTAAAAGCACATAGTCTTACATAACATAATAGTATGCTATATGCATAGTATAGTTGGTACAGTCGGGAGGAAAATAGAAATAAAATCTGCCTAACGGTGTAGATTCGTGCTGAAATGTCATAAAATAAATTATAATCGTGTGAAGATGTGTGGTAAAAAAAAAATTAATAAGAATGCCCAAACAAGTCGATAAATCGGCCATATTCTCCCTAGCATTTATTACACTGTCAGGATAATGTTTTCCCTGTTTTATTGGATTTAAAACAGCGACATTGGCGTGTCTACAAGGTGTTGTCAGTGCGAGCAAACGTCTCGAGGGCATATAAATATATGTATAATGTATACACATATAATGTCGAATCGCATATAATTGCTTATATTACAAGTATAGGAATTTTAAAATAAAATAAAAACAGCTTGTATAATAATCGTTACATCTAACGCAACTTTAAGCATATAAACGTATAATTATTTATTACAATATAAAATAATAGCGCGAACGTGTACACGAGTATTAAATTTCTGTCCGCCAATACATGTATGCAATATTATATACAAGACTTAATCAGATATAGCCTATAAAGTTTATAGATAAAATCGTTTAAATATTTCACTGCGGTTATTTGTAAAAGGCTAATCGCAATAACAGTAATAATAATTTCCTATACAAATCCGGCAAAACCGTTACCAGTAGTTTTGAATGATAACAAATTTGACAAAAACATAAAAATTAAGCGTTTTTTATTCGTATACGGAACGATGAAATCACCCTAATTATTATTGTTTATTTTAAAAAAGTTTAGTGCCGAAAAAAATCTTCAATATATTCCTAATATGGCGCAACTTAAGTGGGACTTTCTAAATTAGAATAATTTACAAAAAGTTGGATGGTACTATTTTTATATATTGAAAAATAATCAAAACTAATTTGCCTAAATAGTAATATCGTACAAAAATATTTTTATAAACAGTACTTAAAGAAAATATTGGGTTTATCATTTAATTTTAATTTACCTTTTCAGATTTTTTTTTTTTTTAGTTTAGGTAACTGCCTACAAATTAAATTTTAAATGATTAACTACACGATTTGTATGCATTTATAAAAAGGTTTTAGTACAAATTCCTAATAGGAGGTACCAATTCTATTTTTGTAATATTGTATAAGTGAAAATGTGAAGTCGTACTATAAAGTGTTAATGTATAGTACAACATGGTTCATTATTTTTTTTAATTTTAAATCTATTAAACGCATTTTTCCACGTCTCTAGAAATTTGGGAAACATGGGCTATGTATTAAAATTATTGTTCGATTAACATTCACGGTGGCCGTATAATATTACGCATTTATTTGTATTTTATTTACAACTTACACCTATAATATACGTGCTATTATAATAAATGATACGAGTATTCATCTAGTATTTCAATAGTGTACTCAATGATTTATTGAGTGGTCTTCAGCTGGCCACATACACTATGATAATACACAGTTAACAAGTACCTATTCATAGGATTGCATGTTAATAACATTGTATTATTATACATATTCATTCTGTTGTAGTTAATTATCTAACAAATGTTCGACCTCAATAAAGTTCATATAATACAAACAATATACACTATTGACAATACAAATACAGAATGTTCAAATATTTTACACTTTATTTACATTTAAATGTATCAATAGCCATTAATTAAAATTACAGAAAACCTCCGCTTGAAATCATTTTCTCGGCCTATAATAGTGATTGCCATTTTATTTATAAAAATAAACCTACTAATGATTTTTTCAAGTTTCATAATCAGCTCTGTGATGTAACAATTCCCAACTTATTTGCGTTTTTTTTTTAATTTTGTTGGCTCACATTGTTAATAAAATCCGTCCTGACCGAAGTTTTAAGACTTATATAGTTTAAATTTTACAATAATGAAAAATGAGAGA